TGAATGTGACATCACAAAAAAACATTCTTCCTCCCATTCTGTGTGGAAGTGGTATGTCTTTAGCTTTTTGCTCGGTCCCGCACTCATTTTGTTGTTTGTCTCTCCCGGCACTTGACTGATTTTGTATCGCTTTGCATTCTGGGTTAACAGACTGGAAAGCGATAGGTCGCTTTTTCTGTCAATCAAGTACACTCCTGAATTAAGTGGCAGGGAGGCCAAGGGAGGAGGGATCAAAATCAGTTTTGTCTATTTTAACGGAGCTGGATTTTTTTTTTATGAATGACTCGCGATCTACCAGCATTGCGACGGCGGTCGACGTACTGGGCACCTCTGCCTTAAAGCATAGAAGTCCCACATTTCTAAGCCAATATTTGAAGGTAAAGTGGTAACATAATGCTGCTCCAAATTTCCATAAAAAAAATGCATTGTTGATAAGTTTTGAGGCTAAGTAGGGTCATTACTCATAGACTTCTATACAATTGGACTTCTTTTTGCAACCAGAGATGTTGTCCCCTGCTGGAAGTCCCTGATTTACACGTTGTTGATGCTCATGCTACGTGTAAAAGGTAATTTCTGGTCCATGATAAATTAATGTTGACGCCATCTCCACTACTTCACCCATATGTTTCTAAAGAGCTGTTGGCAGTGACGCCACCATCTTATTTCAAGCTACCCTTGACAGGTCATCAGCAGTGAAATTGATCCGACAGCTAGCAGTTAGCATCCTTGGACAGCACTCAGGTGTCCCTCAAAGCAGCATCATGGAATCTTTTAAACTAACCTCTCATTAAATACACTATCCTTGCATGGGACCCACTGTCATGTCCAGCAGAAAATACCATAAATAACTACAAAAAATAATGAAAACACTTAATAAAACAAAAGCAGTTTGCACATAACATCATATGATTTGTCAGTTTTGGATTCGTCAGCAGCCTTTGAAAAATCTCAATCAAAAGTCAAGTTTCCCCTTAAAGTGTGCAGCATTTCCTCTTGATTTGTTTAAAAAGAAAAATGTATATATACTTCATAGAAAGCACTCTGTTTCCATTTCACAGCAATGTCTGTAAGGTCTGCCTTCCATTTCCACACACTACCTCCCTGGGGAAGGTTCTAGACAATAAAACTCTCCACTGAAACTCAAATGGTGATACACAGCCATGTATGAAATTAGATCAAGACATCATATTGGACTTCAACTCGCAGACACTGTCAAAACGGAGACGGAGCGTGTGGCGCTGCGGTGGGGGGTCCCGGTGGACGGCAGATAATCTGCAGAACAACCATCAGCCGCCCGCAGAGAGGGGACGCACTTTCAAAGGCCATCTGCGCGGCTAGTCCCTGGGGGTCTATGGGTAGAAGGTTTGATGAAACTTCATAGGCAAACCTGCAGGCCCTCACTTTATTAAGCTTCAGAGAGACCTGTTAGAACAAATCACAGACCACTTGTAGCCACACTGCAGCACGACAACGCATAGCAACAGCAGAATCACTATAGGTGATGTTTTTTAAGGATTGAACAAAGGAACATTGCTCAGAGCAGCATGGAGCATGGTGAGAATGGGTTAAAGTTCCTTCTCTTAGCAGGAGGGGGAATTCAAAGTACGTCGCTAGAATGTTGGTCCCACCTATTTGTGCCCAATGGAAACAGTGCCAGGTCCACCCCTGCTGTGTAGTAAACATTTTAAAAGATGTACTCTTTTAAAAATGAATGTCTCAAGATCTCAGAATTCTTAAACCAACTCCATGTTGTCCAAACTATCGTTTAGAGTGGTGTAGTGATGAAGTGTTTTTGTATGCCGACCTCTACAAAAAGCAATGGCATTTGTGTTCAGCAGGATGACCTCCACATATAAACACCACTTTGTGTCGTGAGCAATTGCCAGAAGTAAAAAGTGTAAACTTAATTCTATAAGCAAACTACACCACGGTCTCATGGCTTTGCTTCACCCCCGCAAAGCTGAAGCCGGCTAATGTCCGTAGTTCATTCAGTCACCTGTTAGCAACCGCCATTTTAATGACATACATATAGAAGCTCCAGATGAAAGAGGGGTATTTAATGATCTGTTTTATTTATTTGAACAAAATGACCTTATTTCTGACATCAAACTAAAAACAGGTCTAAAAAACGTTGATTTGGATGAACCGTAAGTGCAAAATGCTAAGTGTTTCACGGGTTTTAGGACTCATTTCTGCACCACTCTATTATAGAGTATTTTAATAATTACACGAATTACACTCTTTCTGTTTTTTTCCAATAACACTGATTTGAATTCTGGCAATCCATAGATTTATTTCTCTCAACCTAATTTCTGTGGAATTAAGAAAAAAGTACAAAGTATTTTTTGGTCCAAATGTTTAAAATATTGTTTGCTTTATTTTGTGTGCCATATTTAAATCAGAACATTCCAAATGAATGCTGCACTGCACAGCTCTGTCTGCATGTGCAGGAGATACATTCTCCAAATACAGTCATGGCTGAACTTTAACATTTTCACTATAATGCCACTGATCTTTGGTGAAGCTCCTTCGCCTCACTCAATCAAGGAGAGAGCATTTCCTAAATGTCACAGAAGAGAGTCCTCTCCATAACACACATACTACATTCATATGAAATTGAGAACATATGAAGCAATCTTAGAATTCACACATTTGACTGCAGACAG